GTCTGTGAAGCACTTGAGACACGCGAGCTTCTGCGTTTCTCTACAGCTTGCGATGGGATCACGGGAGAGGCGTCAGGACCCTCGGCCAGACTCATGTCGAGCTCGGCAGCAAAGTCCTGCAGATCATCATCGTCATCTTCCTCGCGCTCGGGCGAAGCGGGTGCGAGCGCATCGAACGCTTCTTTTCCGGAGTCGATGTCTTCGTCAGGCGAGGCTCTTGGTCGAGAATCAGCTGCTGGGCTTGCGACGTCGAGGTGAGGCGATGCAGTGGGTGTGATACCGACACCAGTCTGCTGTAGGCCAAGACCGATGGATGCGACGGCTTGAGAGGCTGGTCGAGACGCTTCGGCGCCTGGAGTCGAGCGGTCGGCCGATGACATCGGGGACAGCGCTCTCTTCGACTTCTTCGACGATTGAGCGGAAATTACGGGCACATCCTCGATGTCTGGAGTGTGAGCCTTCGGTGTACTGACCTTGCGCTCTCGCTCGCTTTGTTGAAGCCTGGAGACGGGCGACAGCTTTCGTGCCGAACGTGGCTCACTTGAAACTGGCACTGGTTTGGCGGGAGGTGAAGGTGGCGGTTCATCCTCGCTGAGAATCTCGATGTCAAACTCGCGCTCCAGCTCTCGTTCGAGTTCGAGCGCCAGGTCCTCCTCGTCTTCTTCGAGCGTCTGGGTCGGCTGAGCCTTGCCAGGGTGCGCAGCGCCTTCCGCCTTCTCATCCGGCCGTTTTGAGGACGTCGTAGTCTGTTGCCACTGCTGGCTCGAACGACGACGGCTCCGCCGCAACTCGCCTGTAGCCGTCGATGGATTCGTCTCCTCGTGACCAGTTTTAATCAGCACCGTGCCCGCTTCGGTTTCTGATTTGGTTCTAGGAGCGACCTTGAAGTGGATCTCGTCCGCATCAGCCTCGACCTTCGGTGGTGGCGGCGAGTCGTCGAATTCCTCCATCTCAACGGCCACACTTCGGCGAGAAGATCGCCTGAGTGTCGCGACGACCGTGCTAGGCCTTGCCGCCTCTCTTTGGTAGGCAGATGTCGAGGCGCGCATCCCTTCAGCTGGCTTCAAGGGTAGCGACGGTTTCTTCGGACTTCTATCTTGGTCGCCCGCTTTGATGATTTCGTTATCCGGCTCCCGCTTTCGCGGTGTCTTGAAGTCGCTTGTCCAGGCTGTCTGCGCTTGATTACTGAGCGTGGTGCGTGAACGTTCGTACTTGAGCGCGAAGCTTGCCGCCACGCGATCGAGGCGGTACGTTTGTTTGTCATCGTCCCATATCAGCACGAGATCGTACGCCTTTGCTGTCGTTTGCGGCCCTGTGAACACGTGTGCTGGCTTTTTGGTCGCGCTGTTGATCGCGCTGGTGCTCGACTCGGCATGGGCGTCTGTGGCCTCAAGCTCCATCTGCCACTCCGACGTGTCGCTACGACCAGGCCCGGGCTGAAACAGGGCTCCTCTCTTGCAATCGTGTGTCGAATCTGGCTTGAAGTTGAAGTTGAGCGCAAAGAGGCTGGACAAGGGCTCGGCGAGCCCCGCACTGCGTCCGTTGGTGTTCGATACCGCATGCAAGAGCTCGGAAGCAGCCGGCTCGACAGCGACGTCGTAGAGCCGACGATCACCCCGTCTCGCCATGACACTATTTGTGCGCGGTGTGTTCGAGCAGAAGAATCGAAGGAGTGGGCAAAGTCCGATGGTTGTGGTCAACAACAAAGGGCACGGACGCGGGCACACGCAGCACCCGCTTTCAGGGTCCAAAGGTTAAATTCCCGTCCGCTGTCAGACGAGGCCCGAGCGCAGCAAAATCCCGCACCCGCACCCGCACCCGCAACGGGGCCGCACCTCTCTCAGTCCGCCAGCCCACGTCACTTTCTGCCGACGAACGAGCCGTCATGGTCAGAGGTTCTCCCTGTGTCAACGCAATGCAGAACAGCGCGGTCAAGCCGGCATCACGCCGCAAGAACATGGAAGAAAGATGAAATTGACACAATCATGCGGATGGACACTCGGAACTAACTGCGGTTGGAGAGACGGAATCGTGAAAGGGCAGAGGGTCGCGAGAGGGCGGCGCTCACTGGCTGGCAGCGGCCTTGACCACGGTGAAGGACCACTTGCTCAGGGTCAGAGCGATCGACTCGCCCGACGCAGTGGCCTGGCAATCCTCGGTCTTGACCTCCTGCTTGTGCAGCGTGTTCGAGTCGAGCGGGCCCTCGCCGCCAACCTTCTTGCACTCGGGCTTAGCCACCTCCTGACCCACGTTGATGCTGATCGGCACACTCTTCTCGCTGTAGTTGACCAGCTTGACGATCACGTCGCCCTTGTCGTCGACACCAGCCGAAACGTAGACCTGAGCCTCCTCGAGCGCCTTGCTGTTCTCCACCTTGATGCTCTGGCTGATGCGGTTCGAGCTGATCAAGCTCTGCATGAGGAACGACGTAGAGCCGACAACCTTGGTAGTGTCGAACTCAAGCAGACCCGGAGTCGACTCTGAGGCTCGGTCGTCGGACTCGTTCGACAGCTCCGGAGCATAGGCAGCACCACGAACAACGTCGCAGTTGTTCTCCATGCCCAGAATAAAGACCGACTCGGCGAGCGAACCCTTGAGAATGCTGTGGTGCAGACGACCAGGACCGAACCAGATGTTGTCGTCCGCCTCGAGCCCAGAGTTGATGGCAGCAAACTCCATGTTGTAGAACACGGTGTTGTTGGAGCGCGAAGCGTCGTCGTACATGCGGTACTTGCTGATGAAGTCGGCGGGCGTTCCGTAGATGGGCTGGTTGAGCAGGTCGACGCGGTACTTGTAGCCGGTGGGGACGCAGATGGGAGCGGTGGCGATGAGGTCGATCTCGTCAAAACCTTTGTGGTTGGCGAAGTCCTTCTTCAGCATAGCAGTAAGCTTGTCGAAGCGAGTCTGGTAGTCAACGCTGGGCTTGAGGCCGCCCTCGTTACCGATCATGAAAGCCTGCACGTCGTAAGGCTTCTGAGGGCCACCGTTCTTGACACGCATCTCGGCAAACTTGCCCTCGGTGTCGAGCAGGAAGTGAACAAAGTCGACCTGCTGCTGCAGGTAAGGCTCTAGGTCATCGACCGGAACAGCATCTCCATTGGCATCGACGCCGTTCCAGAGGCCGACAATAAGACGAGCACCAAGCTTCTGGATGAAGTCGTACATCTCCACAACACCCAGCCCATCGGTGTTCCATCCCTGCCAATTGCCGAGGCGTCCGGGTCGGTCAACGAGAGGGCCGATGGTGTTGTTCCACTGGAAGCGCGAGGCGATGGTGTGGCCGGCAAGATCGTTGCCCCCCGGCCAACGAATGGCCTTGGGCTTGAAGCTGAGCATCTTCTCGGCCAGATCCTTGCGAGCAACGGTACCCTCAAACGTAGAAGGGAATAGGCTGACAAGGTTGATCTGGAACGACTCGATAGAGTCCTCGGTCTTGATGGCGAACACGTTGTTGATGTCGGGGGCGGCCTTGACGCTGTCGAGGACCATGGTAACCGGAGTCCACTTGGTTCCAACCTTCACGGTCTTGGTCTCGTCGACCCAGGACTGAGTCAGATCGAAGCTGTACAGACCAACGTTGAGCTTGACGGTCTGCTCCTTGTCGGCGCGAATGTAGAAGCTGGCGTTGTAGGTCTCGCCAGTCACGGCGGGCATGCCGAAGAAGCCAAGGTTCTTCAGACCGCAAGCAGCCCCCTTCTTAGTGTCGCAGGTCACCTTGGCAGAGACGGGGAGAGCCTTGGAGAGAGGCTCATCCTTGACGAGCTCGAGCTTGGACTGGCCAACGGGCTGCCAAGCGGTGAGCGAGCCAGAGCCCATGGCGTCCGACGCGCCGACGCCAAAGACCGAGTCGTTGGAAGACTGGAAGGCACGGTTGCGGATCATCTCGGCGTACAGGCCACCATCGCTACCATAGTTGAGGTTGGATTCGACGAAAGTGTTCATGTCGTACATGCACTTGGCACCCGCCTTGGACGCCAACTGCACCTTGAGGTTCGAGGCGAAGGGAGCGCCAGTGCCGTCCGTGATCTGAGGACCCTCGCGAATCTTGAACGCCTTTTCATCACCGATCGGCTGGACGTCGGAAGAGGACGCGGGAACGGTAACGACACCGTCCCTGGGAATGGTTGCGGCTGTGTTCGAGTCGAGATGGGCACAAAGTCAGCTGTCGCCACGAATCGCTGCAGCAGATGGAAAGAGGTCGGTACTCACCATTAGCCGTTGCGGCCAGGATCGAGGCCACCGCCGC